AAAAAAAAAAGAAAAAGGTGGAAATTGTTATGCTTGAACAGTCACAAATCCGAAATTATACCGAAATCTTCAAATTGTTTCAGTCAAGCAGTAAAGTGGATGATTTTCCAACCGTATGTGAACCGCCACCTGTTGGTATTGTAAATGAGGAAAGACGGGGACCAAAAACACCACCCGGTTCACCCGGGCATGACGCTAATTCATCGATGCTTTCTTCACGAGGTGTCGGCTCAGCATCACCTTCCAGTCCTCCGCCTCCTCCTCCTGCCGATGAAACTGTTGCTTTATCAGGGGAGGTAAAGCTTATTATATCTAGCAGTGGCCATTTTAATTATGCAAGTTTGACACATTTATTATAAGAATTGGATTGAAATTGATTTTGTGTATTTTCTCAACGATATTGGAAGATGTGCTTTTATTTTTTCAGGGTAGTAAACTAAAAGTGGAGGAAACGCCTGATTTGATAGCTGAAATGGCAGAACTTACAAAACTTCCACACAATAAGCTGGCAGAATGTTTGGGTGAAGAGTTGCAGAAAGCGATGAAACAGGTTCGAAAATTTAGCTAACTTCAAATTCTTCACTTGAGGTTTTTATGAAAGATCATGATTTCGTGGTACATCTACAGTTTGATTGAAAGCTTTGGAATTTCTACGTAATTTTAATCCAAACATTCTTTGAAGCTCACAGAAAGCACCGAAATTATTTTGCTTGTTCAGGATTTCAGCAAATGTTGCCTAGTAGAATGAGCAGAATGTTGTAGGAAGTGTGAATTAGTTGATTCTTTCAGGTTGATCACAAAGTTTTGCTAGAAACACTGAAAGATGCATTGCTAAAGGTTGGCAAGAAAAACGACGACCAGCAAGATGAGTATGTCTTTACCTATGTATCTCTATCCTGAAGATTTAGGCCCTTGTCTGTAAAATTGTTGTTTTTCTTTTATATATTAATTTACTTACTACTTAATTCTATTAACATTTCGTTTATTTTCCATTCCAGGCAAAATCAGATATCCTCCAAAGAAGACATGCAGATGTATCCAGTAGAAATGGATCTGGAAAGTAACAAAAGTGTTAGTGGGAACGGTGTCTTACTACCACCTCCACCACCTGCACCTATGACACCGCCATCGCCGAACATGGTTCCAGCTTTGCCTGTTGGACTTTCTACTACTCCGGTAGTGATGGCGCCCACTGTTTTGCCAACACCACCACCTCCACCACCTCCACCATTGGTTATGCTGCATCCTGGTACTGCGTCTCAAGTTCTTGTCAGTACGTCTGCAACAGGAAATGCGCCATCCCTATATCCATATTTTCCTCCACCTCCACCTCACCGGCTTTCTGTTGATCAAGGTATCAGCCCGTCTACTGTTGCTGGACCTCAAACATCTGCTGCATCCGTTATTTTCGCTGGTGTACCATATGCTGCTAACCTTGTTGCAACTTCATCGTTAGCAGTACCAACAATGCCATCCTTGAATCTTGCATCACATGCACCAACGGCAACAGCGCAACCTGCAGGTATGAACTTTTCTTATAAAGCATTTCGTTTGCTTCTTTTCTACCTTTCATTTATTGTTAAATGACGAAAGCGTAGATTTTTTTCGAGCTAAAGGATTTTAGTTTTTTTTGTCTTAATCTTGATTATTCTTAAATTTTAGGAATGATGAGCGCATTGCAGAATATTCCTACAACACTATCCCATATTGCTGCTACTCCTGCTTCTGCTGTTGCATCCTATGCTAATCAAACTCTAGCATTTCCATTGTACCCTGGCCCATCTTCTCAGCAATTACCACCAGCCTCAGGCGCGTTTGTAGCTGGCAATCATTATCCACCAGTGACGCTTGCACATAGCAGTCACTATAGCTCAGCGAACATTAATGTTAGTAATAACAGCTCAACAATAAAAGTCAGTAATCACCCAACTATTATGCTACCACCAACAGTGTTGCATCCGTATGCCAGTGCTACAAATTACAATATCTCCAATACTTCGATAGCATCATATTCGGTACCTACTACGTCCTGCGTGTCCACGACAGCCGGCAGCTCTCTGACAACAGCAACAGTTTCGTCCTTGCAACAACTGCACCAGCAAACCTCTAAACCTTTGGTGTTATCAAACTCATCGTTTGGTTGCGTATCGCATCAGACTGGAACTAATACCTGTTCAACTGCAAACAGCAATTGCAATTTTTCCGAATTGAGAACATCGCAAAATTCATATCACTCACAGTACCAGACTACAAACTATTCTCCACCACTTCAACATCATCAGCAAAAGCAACATCAAAATCCTAATCTTCCAGGAACCTCATCAGATGCCACTGCCGGTACCAGCACCTTCGCTACACAACATCAATTACAGCCGGATGAAAAATCTTTTTCCACGAATTTCTCACGTCTACCATCTCTTCAGATGCAGACTTCGCTGGAATCCCTACCGACATCAAACAGTGCAACATTCAACGGTGGCGAAGCAGGTTCATCGCGGTTCCTTTCATCTGGTGCTGTGAAAGAATCTGTTTCGATTAGTGCTGCTATAGCATCTGGCTACAATTCTGACCGCTCATTACCTGGAGGGACTGTCAATAGCGCATCGGCAAATTTTGGCAGCTCGAAATCATCCGATGAACCGGTTTCAGTGCCATCCAGTCAAAATGTTATCAAAACATTACTTTCTGCTTTATCCATTCCGCAGAGCAGTGATAGTGTTGCCGCTACCACTGGCGGTGTTGCTCCCAGTAATTCCGCTTCGGCACCTGAAACTAATGATGGAGATCGGGAAGTTGATTTTTGTTGGCCACCGGCAAATATGGATGCTCGTTGGTCCCATGAACCTAGTCAATCTGAAAAGGCGAAAAAAACAATATTACACCAGCCGCCATCATCATACTCCCAGACGACGAATGCTTCACGGATGATGTTTTTTGACCAACCGATAAAGGTTCATAAATTTATTGTATTTGTTCATATTGTACAAGATAGTGCCGTTATTAAAAAAGTCGGAAGTTCGAGTTTCATCATCAACGAGAACATATGAGATAGAATTGGTGACAGTTGAACTATATTATCTGGAACAGCTTCCTTTTCCTTCAGGAAATATTTAAGCAGATGTTATTTATCCCTATCTGATTGTACGTCGTGTTTTTTTGTTCGGCTCTGTAGCAACCTCTTAACCTCAACCACTCTTATTTGGGTGAACCAACATATTTTTAGCACTTTGGCTCAATTCTCAAATTAAGAAAGTGATTTCTCATTTATCATTAATAAGGAAAGTTCATATTATCTTTTAGGCGTCTTCAAATTCAGCGGTATTACCACCAAGTACAGGGACACCAATGGTGCGACCTCGTCCCCCAGTTCCTCCGCCAGTCCAGAACCGAATGCCTCTTAATAGGTTACCTAGAGGACTTCCGGGGTCATCACCGCTTCCCGGTCTTCTATCAGGAGGGCTCCGTATGAGATCACCTTTCAGACCGTCTGGACTAGCAACATGTTCACCCTTTCCTTCTGTGGCAGTTCCGCCACTGAGACCACGGATCACTCCGCCTTTCTTTGCAAGACGACAACCTTTTCCACTTAGACCTCCTCCGCCTGGCATACGCCCGCCTCGACCACCATTTCTGCGATAGCATACCTGTAAGTCATCTACTTTTTGTTTGGGTACCTGGTTTTTAATTTACGAAAGGAATTTTACCCAATTAAAAGTTTCGCAAAATTGTTAGAAAACCTGAAAGGAATATTTCATATGTGTCTTAGATATTTTTCATAATTTAATGCCCACTTTTTATTGTTACTATAGAATTAACTGCAATCTCCTTCTTTCTCACAAAATCCCATCCACACGTATGCAGAATGGCAGCGATTGGATATCATCTCATCATAGTGCGACCAAATCATGAAAGTAGTAACTTCGAAAGTCAGACATCGAACTACCAGCAGTCCCATTCAATGATCAAACAGAACCGTTTAATGGTTTTTTCACGAACCTCTTACAGGATCTGCATATACGACCGTAATCGGCGTATCATCGCGCCATCATCCGAAGACAGCCCGCATTGAATACCTTAAGGGTAATATAATTTGCTTACTCTTTTACTATTTTATTCAATTGCTTCCTCCTTTCCAGAAATGCTTATTAGAAAAATGGTATGTGGAATCAGTGAAGTGCATTCTAGGATGTTGCTCAGAACAAATGTCTCCCGCGGTACTTGCAAAATGATCAGCAAAAGAATTTCCTTTTTTTTACGTTTTTGAGTTTTTATTTTTTCTTTATATGAAGTGCATGAATAAATTCATGCTTTATATTTCGTTAGTAATCTCAGTTTATAAAGCTTGTAGCGGGTCGCTTCGGTTTAATCATGAGACCATACTGTTCTTTTGCTGTCTTAAATTGCATTTGGAACTCGGAACTACTGTAATTTTGAACTCACACCATTTTTAATCACTGATTCCGGGGTTACAGTGAAATCAAAAAATTTTAAAAATTCTTAGAATCTCCAAAAATTTCACCTTTTCTTTCATATACAATAATTGGATAATTTTTACATGTAAATATAGTTTGAGAGCGAGGAGATTTAGAATGGAAATTTTCCAAAAGTATAGATGATGCGTATAAGCAGTGTTGCTTCAGGTTCAATGAATAATACAGTACTTTCTACACTTATTATTATAGATATTGTATTAAATTATAGAAACTTATATTAATGCATCTCTTTTTTTATAATGGAATCGTATTTATTAACATTATATTGATTGCATTTGTTGCCTCAAAGAGAAAATCGTTATTTTCGAACCCCTTTGTCGCATGTAAGGCTGAGTTTGCCAAGTTTCACTTTCTAAATTTGGGCTTATTTTTGTAACAGCGAGACATCTCAGCGATTTTTTAAATTTAACCTTTGATATTTCTGAAATCTTCTGGAAGAAAAAAATGTTTTCTGTTCCTCTTTTGAAATTAAAATAGAAAGGTCTCGGTATCAGCAATAATATTAGATTAGTACGATCTGTTATCTGCCTGAACAGACATCTTTAGTTTTGTTTTTTTCGTTCTGACAAGTGAACTGGCATTATGAGTCGGATTCCCTGCTCTGATTTCCCATATTTTCGTGGTAACAATGGTTATATGAGGAAATAAAAGGTGCTGCTTATTAGTGTTACCTAATATTGGAGATATTACAACATTAAAAAAATATCTGCTTATCTTGATAGCCAGGCAAATAGTTTTTCGGGCAATTTTTATTTATCAGGACTTTCCTTGTAACAAACTTGGTGAATTTTGGCACCCTTATAATGTAGTTATTTCTGATATTTCTGTTTTCATCTCTTTTCTCACATTTTTTCTTTGTTTTAATTTATGGAAGCTCCGATATGTGAGCTCTTTAAAATTTCAAATCAGCATCTTTATTTTAAATCATATGTGAACGCCAAGCGCTTCTGGAGCTTCCTGCATCTTTTTCTATGGTTACATTTTTTATTAGCTTCGACATACGGTGCTTGTACTTTTTTTTATTTTTTTTTAATCATATTTAGATCATATTTAACATTACTTGGAATTCAATTTTCCAATAGGTTGTGCGGAAAGTTTGCTCTTGAGGATATGCCAATTGTTTGACCCATCTGTAAAGGGGATTTACATCAGTTGTAAATTGAGGAACTTGCTTTGTTTTATTTCTTCTATTGACTTCCATTGTTTATTATATTTTGTTCATTAATTTAATGGAAATAAGCGTAAGTTGTGTGTCTGTCTCATTTTTTTAATTTTTATGTTTTTAATTTTCTATTTTATCTTCTAAAGGCGTTGTTTCATATGATACCCATTTCCCAGTTGTATTATGATGTGTTAAATCCTGTAAAAAAATAATCTGATTCATTCATTTTAATTTCTTGTCTCTTCCTCATTGAATATAGCTATATTTTGTGATCCTTGTTCCAATGCTGTTGTTTACGAATTTAAATGAAATTTCGGAATTTTTCAATACTTGTGCAGGTTTTTCTCTCCTATCTTTGAAGCAAAAATCATAAAATTTGTGATGCACGTTTGAATAAGAGGAAAATTGTTTCGTTAAAATGAATAATTTACTGAAAGTTTGTAATGCTTTCAGTATTTGACAGAGCGATCAACATGATAAAAAACTGAATAATATGTTTTGATTTTCCATCTGAAATTTAAATTTAATGCAATTCGTTCATGATGGATATTGTTTTAACTCATCTTAAAATAATTGTTGGTTTGGTCAGCTGGGTTTGGATTGCTTTTTATGCATTTGTACAAAGTTTCTCTGAACAAATTGGTTAAGATTAAATTACTCAAATGCCATACATTTGATGGCTGAATTATCCAAATTTCTATTTTATTGAGATTGTGTTACCGAATTTCAAATCGGATAGCAATGGTGCAAATCATTTAAGTTCCTTATCGTTTAATACCACCAATTATCACTGGTAATATTAGTTCAACAATCACATTCTGTAGTGATGTAGAACGTATTTTTGTTCTTAAACGACTGTTGTTTCAGTGGATAGATTATCAACCTGATTTAGATGGAACAATTTAAGAGTTAGCATCATGAGAACTATTCCAATCCCAGTATCCCGGATGGTTATTTCTTCGCGTAGATTTATGAGTGAGAGTTATGATGATTCTGATAAGATCAAAGATGGTTAATTGCTTTTACATATTCAGGAGGTAGTATTTATTTTTACTATTTCATCTTATGGAATATAGTATAAGCAGAAAAATTCCAAAACATTTTACCTCTTCATGTATCGCTAGTAAGGTAGGATTCAGTGAAACTTCAATAATATTGAATTGATAAACTTTCACCATAAGGTGCGTCTGACTGTGATTGTCAGAAAATGGATGGTTTCTTTTGTCATCCTGAATCAGAAATCGTTCATTTCAGTGGTACTTTACGTGGGTGCAGTGTCAGTTTTTGCGTGATCTCATCAGGAATACACACAAGATGCAGATAAGGCTGATTCCACGGGAGTACGTTCAGTCTTTTTTCTTTTAAATATGGAGAATGGGTATGAGGATGTAAGTTCCTTTTCTCATAAACTCTTGAGGGTCACATGGTGATAATAATTACGTAAAGCGATCTATACGTTTAGATGTCATATTTTGAACTGTCATAAGTTCAGTCATGTTTGATACAATTGGAATTTTTGACACTTTCGTATTCAATAAACGTATTTTGTTAACGACTTATATGTAACTTAACTGAACAAATTAAGGAACTAGAGCATAAATAAAAGTGTCACGTCTGGCCTATCCAGTTGCTATACAATAAGCAAACAAAAATAAGTGAAAGAAAAACAGTTTTGTTTTCAGAGATGGTATTGCGGAGTGGGCAATGATCGAACTACAAGGGACGCTGGAGTCAGCTGGTACGCTTACAGGACAACGAATTGGTACCTTAAAATGGGAGAATAAAAAAGTGACGAATTTTTTTCTAAATAAATGAATTCGAGAGTACAAGTCAGGGAATTTATTTCTGTGCTTTGCAGATTGTATTGGATTCCCTACACCATCCTACCAGATTTTGTTTATAATATCCGCCTTTAAAATCCTTCCGGAAAAAAAGGTGTAATTAAAGAATTGTTTGAAAAGTCAAATAAAATACCCAATTGAATATTCTCCTTTTTCAGGCTTTACTTCATATTGGCCGTCACATTATGGAAGGGAAAGAGGTGAAACTCCAGAATCCACTAATTGTACTTGCACGAGATGCAGGAAGTCAAGGAATTGCGCAAATTGCCGCTGTGATTCGTAAAAAAGTTCAATTTCGTGCACGACCAATGCCTGTATGATTGATCTATCATGACTTTGTATCCAAATTCACACAACTTTGCCGACTTTATCAAGGATTACGAGATACACATCTCGAGATTATCAGATACAATTTCCGATTTACATCCACAGGTTTTATGAAGCGACAGTCACATTCTAAACTCAAAGTTTTATGTGTTCCGCATCTTTCTAGAGTATTTCAACATTGCCAGTTCACATATGTGATATACATAATAAAATGTAATGTGCATAAAGTATTTCAAGTTTAGCAACATAATCTTCTTGAAGTCTAACAGGGTCATAGCAATCCGTTCAAATAGTTAATAACAGTTAAAACAATTTGGAAGTGAAGTTACCATACTTACTTCATTTCTACAAATCAAGATATAAGTTCACTTTTGAAAGGTTAAAATGGGACCGTAATTCAGGAAGCGTATTCTGTGATATTTTCCTTGAATTTTTTGTACAACAGATTTTTCTTGTATATCCATCATCACTGTATATCCTTCAGTATGTAATATAATAAAATCGCACACATATTTTCGCTTACCTTTTATACACACCATAAACATCATATTAGAATATACTTTTTGAGACATTCGACTAAAAAATGTTTTTCAAAACCCTTTCGATGATAAAGAAAATCGCTTCAAACTTAAACGGCAAATATATTGTTGACTGATTAATTGACCTACTCTTGGCCAACAAGATTTTGACTAGGACAGCATTTCAAAGACAGAAGAGATAAACTTGATCTAAGAGAATCAGAAAATTCTACTCACAAAAATATAACGCTTCTTGTGAAAATATTAAAGGTATCAAAACGAAGGCAGTGGAACCGAATTTCCAGGATTGATTCATTATAGTGATGTCTTTGATACATCATTATCCTCTCAAAAACAAAATAAAGTACAATGTAGAAATTACAAAACCTGGCAAGATTTATACAAATTTATATTCAGTCTGCACATCTTTTACAAACCGAACCACTAAACAAACTTGAATTCACTTCAGCAAATTCGCTGCTAACTGTGATATTATTCGTGCTCGTCGCTTTAAGCTTGCACTTGTATCTGTTCCCATATAAGCTAGAAGTACATTAAACTGATAATTTCAGAGTTCAAATTAAGAAATTACCACATAATATTTTATCCAAATATTCCGGTTAGATAACTCAAAATAATTTATTATCCTGTAATTAGCTTATCCCGACCTGTCTCATTTGGAAAGGTTAAAAAACTCAAGACTAAAAGTTCGAGACATATTAGACATATTATATTCCATCTATCTTGTGTTGTTGTCAAAAAGTTATGATCTCTATGTCACAATACATAGTATTCGCCGTATTAATTCACACGCATTTCATCTAATTAAATTTCAGTTGAAATAAATTTTGGTATACGCACTTTTGTTAAACCTTTTATATTTAATAAATTATATCAGCGTATATGTTTTGCCTTACCTGTTAAAGACGTTTGTAATCGATTTAAAACATGGCGGTAGCTACCAGCAATGGTGGGATCTCTTACTTGCAACCCTATCAACACATTCTCGATATATCTGCAAAACTTTAAAGAAATCAAATCTGTTACAAATATTTGCAAGAAGTCCTTGTTACAATTACATCAAACATTTAAATTAAACAGAATGCTAACGACTAGCATTCCCAGCATATTTCACGAGATCCGCATAAATCACTGCTGTGAAGAACTGGATACCCCCTATAATTTTAATCGTTCAACATACAGCTAAAAACCAAACTTTATTGAAGAAAGAGTATTCATCTGAAATTTCGTACGGTGAACGTTGAGTTATACTTTCTCTGATTGAAAAATGTGAAGAATGTTTTATACGAAAAAAATCCCACCTAAATTTGAGATCCGTTTCGCCCTCCAGTTTTGTTGCCAGCTGATTCAACAGGCATAACAAAATATTTTGCGGAATAGGTTGCTCAACACTGGCAATTATGTCCGGATCAACATTGTTGCAAACAAACATTAGAGCTCCGAAATCTTTCAGCATCAATGCCTACAAAGAAACAGATTCTCTTTGCTTTGAAAACTCGAACGAATAGAAAAAATAAAGAATTAAAGAATTAGAATTTTCTATGCGAAAAAAAACGAAAAATTTGGAATGAATTTAGATCTTTTAAAGGGCATAAAAATTTTCTCTAGAATCAATCCACTTTTCGGCATTCAATAAATTACAGGGGTCTCGGATGATTCTGCACTTCTTACAGGGATCCACATTAAAAAAGATCAGTTCATACGCAGAGCGGAGAATGAGCTAAATGATCAGAAGTATTGGTTCTTGATTTCAAATCATACGTAATTATTTTTAACGAGGAACATATATGGATTCAAGAACTGATCTGAGAAAATAAATGCTATTTTCTATGAGGGAAAATCAAACCGACCTTTTCAAATGCTACAGTAATACGTTGATTTTCAATAAGATTAATAAGAGCTGATGGATCGGTAGAAGACGAATTGCTCGTCATCAATGGATCAGTGACTGCTTGATTTGTTCTTAAAGTACTAGTACAGAGTGTGTGTATTTGCTTCATATATTGCTCCAACCCAGCGCGGAAATTTTCATTAAGCTGTTGGAAAAGCGATACACAGACATCTTGTAAAATCGGTATCATGGTAGCCATCAGTATTTCTCGTATATTGCCAGTAAGCTCTTCTCGAATAACGTGTAAATCCATACTCTGCTGTTGCTAAATATTATTCACTGATTTTCCCGAAATTTGTGAAAAGAGAAGGCGATTTAAAAAAGCGTCGGAATCCCTAAATTTCAATTATTTAAATCCCTTTCAAGGAACTCAAGCTTTTTCGTCATTATATGCCGAATATTTCACCAATTTAAATACAACTGAGATCAATTATATAAAAGTTTACAAAATCCAACCTTAAAATTATCAGTAGTTGCTGCTCGAAGGTTTTGAATAACACTGTCCATTTTAAGATCTAGCGAAGTTTGCATTGCTTCCACTGTTGATGTCCTGCTTTCATTGATCAATGATTCAAGCTTCAGGAACAGCCTCTCATCACAAGATACGATATCTTCACCTAAACAAAATGAAAAAGAAATATTAATTATGAGATGCTGACCATAAAATCTAAAATATTCTCCATAAATGAATGAAGAATATTTTGGGTTTAAAACCCACCAGAGTTTTAATTATTTTAAAGATATTTCTACGAATTTTCACTCTTCATCTACACTCATTTTAAACTAAAACGTCATCAACCATTTTTCATTACCTAATTTTTTCCTTCTGGAAGCGAAAAAAGTTGGCCTACCGTCTACAAATTTGTTTACTGAAATGAATTGGATGAAAAAGGCAAGGATTTACGGGGAGAATTACAGTATTTCATTGCACAGAATATTAACCAATCTATCAAGTGATGAATTGGTTTAACCCTCTTTTCGAAAAAAACTCATAAAATAAAGCAGATAGAGTTAGTGAAAATCAAGTTAACACATGAAACAAAAGTAAAACTATTGGAATAAAACCGTTAGTAACAAAAAAATAAAAATTACTAATTTCTCGCTAACCGGAGAGTTCATCTCTCTCATAGCACTAGTAGCAAGAAAAATAAATCAGAAAAATAAAATTTTATAATAGTAGTAATGGTAACGATAACGATGATAAAAATAAATGATGACGATGAAAATAATGACAGTAGCAATAATAAAAATAATAGTGATAATAACCAAATAGCTTTAAAGTACAATAAGTAATAATTCGATGAATTTAATTAAGACAGCAAAACTCCACCCCAGCTCTGATGTTTATACTAGTTTAACTGCTGCTTATTTTAATCAGCAACGGTCCTTTCCATTTCTTCATTCCGTCAACTTTCTGAGAGTTACCGGGAAACAATTTCATCAAAAATTATCGCACTTAATGTTTCATTCCTCATTGTGTTACTAAAACCGCAATAAATGATTCTATTAATCTGCAATATACAACTACGAATCATTTCACCGTATTAGCTAGCTTAAACTTTGCTAAGACACCTTGACATTAGGAAAAAAAAATGAAAAAAGCATATCAGACTTCGTCTTCCGCAACTTATAGATAAAATTTATAATAATAGCCATTTCGAATAACTTGTAAAGAAGCAACAACAACCAACAGATAATTTCTCAAATATGCTTTCCAGATATCAAATATAATTTGGAAAGAAATATACATGATCAAAAAAGGAATACATTAGGATAGAATCATTTAAAAAGAGTTTTCCCTTTTTCAGAGACCGTAAATTTTTAACAGAAAGAAATTTCAACAATAAACAGTTCGGGACAGAAATACTTACGTAATTGTCGCATTTGGGCATCTGTTCGATCGCGTTCTTCTTGTAACCGTTTTTCGAAATCTTCCGCTTGTTTCTCAAAACTTAGACTTAAACCTTCCCACTGATGATATAAAGCATCCAAACGATCCAAATCATCCGATTTTTCCTGTTTTTTATCACCATTTGCAACACCATTTCTTAAAAATCTTCCATAAAGAATTCTGAAACTTTCAAGATTCCAGATCCAGAGACTTCATTCAATCACGAATTGCACGAAAACATTAAGATATAGCAAAGAAAGGGTATATAATTTATTGAACTAAACGGTTATCACAATTCACTTATTTCATTCAGGAGAGACTAAAAGAGAATCATATGGTTAAGAATAAGGATCTCGAAATCCATAATTTGGAGAAAATTTGAGATTAAAATTCACGGTAAAAGATACCCATCATTTGCAACATCTGCGTTTAAAGTTGAAATCATTTGCTCGTCGCTGTCTTCATCACCACCTCCACCACCAACATCACCATTCGCCATATCGGACCTTACCAGGCCAACTTCCAAATGAAGCAATGACCGTTGAGAGAGAGCCACAAATGAAACAAGAATATCAGCCGGGGAAACTTCTTCATCACTTAAGGAAAAATCTAAAACACAAATTCAAATTTAAAAAAGAGAAACCGGGAACAACCGTAAGTATGCTAAAATAATTTAAAATTCTTAGTTCGACAGTAATTTCGAGAATATATGATAAATACTTGATTCTTTTCTACAATTCACCGTAAGACCCATTTGTATAAACTATAAAATTTTACGGAAGAGATGAGAGTCTCTTACACCGAGATTAGATAATCATAAACACCTATCTGACTTATTACCGTGTCTTCAACACAACACTAAAAGTAACTCTTCTCTTACTCATTATGTCCAGCGATCCTTCTGTGATATCCAACTACCATGATGAATTCGTTGGTAAAATTTTGAAATTTATAAAACGCTAACCTTGATGAGGATCCTCCTGCTGGGGGACTGATATTGGAACAACGTTAACAAGTGGATGGCAGAATGTAATTTCTGTACATGCGACAAAACGTGGTGTATTCATAATGTAAGCAACTTCGATGCAATAAATATTCTGCAAAAGTGAAATTTATCGAACTAAAAACTCAATTCACTGATGTAAATGAAAGTAAATTGAAAATGAATTGTTACACTGGTCTAAAAAAAGAAATTCGACCTAAAAAACAAAATCCGACT